TAAAATGAGTGTAGTTAGTAAAGGAATAGCTCCATGCTAATGTCCAGCCCCCTCCATTCGTTTCCATGTCGCAGTAAGCCTTAAAAGCGTTGGCCTTGGATCCTCCATCAGGATCGATCCAATAAACACCCGTAGACGTAGCGGGAGACTGTTTGAGGAGAGTCTGGCACGAGGTTACTGCTGAGTCCTGGTTAGAACCAGGGGGTAGAGAGATGTTTTGCTCTACAATCATAGAATTGAAAATTGAAAGTGAGTCTACTGAAGTATCCTCTATGTTTACTAAAGCCATGTAAGGGAAAATAGAGCTGGCAACCTAAATTCAGTTACGAGTATCAAACAAGACTGAACTAATTTTATGTTACTGAGCAATTTAAAAGGATCTAAACTTAAACATCGGCCCAACGTTTCCTGACATGCGTTCTAACTTGGATTTATCTTTCCTTTTTTTTTTTACAGTTTCGTTGAGCTGTCTCAGACAATTAGGATTCAGACTCAATCATTTCCTCACTATCAACCTTGTAAATAAATGATTTTATTGGTGAACGTACAACCACTAAGACAGTCGAAACCATTCTACGTAGCTGTATAACTGTCCCGATTTTTTTGTGTTTATTTAATGACAATCGAAATTAAGGAAAAAGTATTCAGTGCAAAAAAAAAAAAAATTAAAATTGGTAGCAATAGGCCAGGAAGGATAATGGAAGAGGGGAAGAACATGGAGGACACCAAAACGTGGTAGAAATGAAGAAATTGAAAATTATAAAGTTCAAGTTTGTCTTGGTGCATCAAGGTTTATCCAATGGCTATGGGTGGTAATTTACATTAGTGCTCGGGTTACTGATCTTAATAAAACTGAATTCCTAGCTCTCACCTTGGGGTAAGTCAGTTCTTTCTGGAAGATCGATCTAAATTGGAGTTAAACAAGACATTTATAGTTAGTATCCGCACTTCGTGTTATGTGCATATGTACGAAATTGTTGAAGGCTCACCGGGCGACTGTGGTCTTATTTCAGTTGTTAGTGGCTTCTGTTTATAATTGAACGTTTCATAAAGTTTTAAATTATGGTCTTGATGTTAAGACAAGCTTCTGTGGGTCTTGTCGTCTCAACCTTTCCTATAAGGTCTCATCTCAATTCATTCACGTTCCTCCACAAATGTTCTCTCATGTTTCAGCTTTTTTCCTGCTAAAGCGCAAATTACTTTAAACGCCCGATCAAGTCTCTTACGTAGATCTGATGAGCTAAATCAAAAAGTTTGCGGAGTTTTTGTTTCGTGAAATGATCGTAGCATTTATCTTTATCGCTTTCAAAAAATCTCTATTGTACATCAGCTAGGAAAGAAAATTAAGGCCATTCCGCACTAGCGAAAACGTCACGGTTTATTTTGACAAATTTCCAATCATCATAAACAAACAGGTGAAATCCTCGGCAAACTATGCTGGCTGGTCTTATGAATAGATCGGGCGTTGACGGAATTTGACGGCTTTTATATATAACAGACGGAACAAAAATTTGTCATGACAAAATTTGTCCTTTCATTTTAACCGGGCAATTCTAATTTTGTCTACTAGTGCGGGAACGCCCTTAAACTTGTTCGTGATAAAGTGTACATTATCGGAAGTTGTCACCAAAAAACATGGTATGTCATCAATGCCAAATACCTTTGTTAGATAGAAAGAGCCATCTCGCTGTAAAAGTCGCTCAGTTAATGAACTTGTTTCCATTTCGCCGCGAAGAAGGTAACAAAGTCCTGGGTTTTCCAGAAAGTTTGCACTTCTGCACGAAGTTTGTCTCGCACACAAAACCGAACAGGAAAGCAAAGAATCAGTTTCTCCAGACCAAAAGAGGCTTTTGTCTCTGTAGCTGAAAAAATTGTTTTCTTTGATTTGAAAGAAAACGCCATTTTCGGCTCCTTCAGTTGTCTTTGCCGCCGAGAACAAGACGACTACAAACAGGTACTCGACTTGCAGAAACATCTGTCGAGAGAATCTTAGGACAAACTTATGATTAGTAAATGTATGGATCATATAAATTACCTGCCTTCAGACAAAATTGTCTGACAAGACAGAAAGGGAGAGAAATTTTAACCCACCCTTTGATTTTAACAAAAACAGCGCGCGACACGCTCAAACCTTTGTGTATAAGTTTGCACCGTTAGTACCAATTGTAAATTTATTATTGATTCCGTGATCTTCGTCTGAATTGTATTTGTCTATTTAAGTATAATAATACAGACCTTGACCTTGTTTTCTTAGCGATAAGTTTCCAATTACCCCACAACTCTATTTTGACATTTA